GCCGCGGCCGCGCTCTTCGCCGCGGGCCCTGGGGTGTACACGGCGTTAGACACTGTCGAGGAGTGCAGCAGCGTTGAAGCCGACCAGACGAGCGCCGGCGGCGGCGGCGCGGCGACGCCACGGGGCAGCGGCCCGAGCAGCAGCGGGGGCGGCGCGCCGAGTGGCGAGCGGGGCGCGGTCGAGCAGCAGCAGCAGCAGCAGCAGCAGCAGCAGCAGCAGCAGCAGCAGCAGCCGGCGGCTGCGGACGGCTGGGGCGGTGCCGCGGACGGCGGCGCGGTGTTTTTCGTTGCCGCCGGCAGCAGCAGCGGCGGGAGCGATGACATCCAATACATTGTCGGGCCCAGCGGGGCGCCCGACGGGCCGCCAGCGGGGCAGACCCGCGATCAGATTGCAGGCGGCAGTGAAAACGATGGCGGCCTGGCGTCGGCCCGCGTGGCCGGCCTGTTTTTGGCAGGGTCGTCTGACAGCAGCGGGGGCTGGCGGCCGGGCAGCGGCGGCGGAGGCGGCGAGGGGCCCAGCGGCTCGGCGGGGCCTGGTGGGGCCGCCGCCGAGCCCTCCATCTCCAGGGTTGAGGCGGCCACAGGGGAAGAGGGCGTTGGGGCCGGCGCCGCGCCGTTGGCGGCGGGGTTTTGGGAGGTGAAGGAATCAGCCGGCGCGGCAGGAGCGGCGGCTGCAACGAGAGGAGCAGTCATGGACGGCGGCGCGTCTGCGGACGTATTGCCTCGAAGAGTCGACTGGGAGCAGGACGCAGCTGCGGAGCAGCTTCCATCCCAGCAGCTGCAGGAGCTGCAGCAGGCGGCGCTCGACACCCAGGGAGGCACCCGTCCGGCGCAGCCCGCGCCCGCTGCGCCGTCGTCGCCAGCGCTCGCGCGTGGGCCGGCGGGCGCGGCGCCGCCGCCGCAGCTGCCGCGAATCAACACGCGGCCGGCCTCGGCACCAGCAGGCGGCGGCGGCGGCGGCGGCGCCTCGCCGCGCGCCTCGGGCGCGACGCCGCCGGGCGCCGTGCAGCGCGCGCCTTGGGTGGTCGAAGCTTCCGAGGCGCTCGCCAGCCCCTCGGCCCCGCAGCCGGCCGCTTCGGGGGCGGGGGCGTCGCAGCTCGCGCCGCCGTCGCCGCCGCTGTCTGCGGCGGGCGGGCGGTGGGGGCGGCCCGCGCTATCCCCGCGGTCACCGCGCGCGCCGTCGCGGGTTGCGTCTGTGGTGCAGGCTTTCGAGGCACTTGCGGGCTCCCCCTCAAGCGGGGCCACCAGGGGGCTGCCTCGCAGCGCCGCAGGCACGCCCACGGCGCAGCGCGGCGCCGGCGCTGCCGCGTTCGCAGCCGCGCCACGGCCGCCCAGCGCGCCGACGAGCGGCGGCGAGAGCTCGCAGCCCGGCGCTGCGCGCCGGCGGGCCGCACGGGCGCTGGGCGGCGCGGGCGGGGGCGCCTTCGGGCGGGGCCCGCTGCCCCTCCTCGGGGTCGCCGCCCCGGGCACCTTCCCGGCAGCTTCATCTTCGGCGTCCCTATCTTCGCCCGGGCAGCCTCTCGTGCCGCGCCTCCGGCGCAGTATGGAGGAGGGACTGGATCAGTCCGGTGACCTGCGCCCCACCCCCGCTGCGGCCGCCCCTGCCGTTTCAGCATCGCCACCTGCGCCCCTTGGCGGTGGCGGCGGCAGCCCGGTGCCGCCGGCGTGGGGGCCGGGCGTTGCGGGGGTGCTCGTAAACGATTGGGGGCGCAAGGCGCGGGCGGGCTGCGACGCGGATGCAGATGCGGACTCTGAGGCAGATGCGGGCGGCAGCCTCGGCGGCAGGTCCGCCTCGTCGCCCCGTATGGTGGTGCTGCGCCTCGACAGCCCCGCGGATGCTGCCGTCATCGCCGATTTCGCCGCCGCGGCGGGCGGCAGCGGAGCGGACGCCTCACCCCGGCGCGCCCCCGCGGCGGCGGCGGTGGCAGCGGAGGCGCCGTGCCGCAGCGGGCCGCTCTCCAGCGGTTCCAGCCAGGCGGGCCGCGCGCGGAATTCAAGCGGGCGCCTGAGCAGCGACCTGCTGCAGGCCCACGACGCCCACGCGTTGCCGCCTGCGCCGCTCGACTTCGCCGCCGCATGGGCGCTGGCACGTGCCGCGCGGGCGCGCGGCGGCGTCCCGCCTATGCGCGCGGCATCGGTCACGCGCGCCGCGTCGCGCCTCGGGTCGGAGGACGGGCAGCTGCCGCTGCAGCAGCTGCCGCACCAGCGGCGCCCGAGCGGCGCGCTGCTGTCGCCGCTCAGCGGCGCTCAGGCCAGCGGGGCGTTCCCTGGCGCGGGCCCGAGCGGCCCGATGGTCGTGATCGGACGGGAGCTCCACTTCCCTCACGCGCGGGGCCGCGCAGGTGGTGCGGGTACGGGCGCAGTCGTGACGGCCCCGGCAGGGTGGGGCCCCCGCGCCGGCGGCGGCGGCGTGGGGAGGGCAAAGGGGGTGGGCTCTGGCGTGTTCCCGATCCCCGAGGCGTTCGGCGGCGCCGAGGCCGCCGCTGCGGCGGCCGCATACGAGGAAGAGGAGCACGAAGCCGCGCGTCGCTCGGCCGCGCGCGCGGCCCGCGCGTCGCGGCGCCTGCAGCGCC